CTTGTTCCTGGTTCCTGTTCAGGCTGAGGCTACAGGCCAACCTCAGGTGTGCAGAAGAGGGACAGCCAGGAGCCTGCTGTGCGGCTCTCCAAGGACCCCGGCAGCAGGTGCTGCCCCTGCCCTGGCACAGTGGCTCAGCCCCACCCATCCAAATTCCTGGGCGCCTGTGTCCTGATTGCTTGGCACTGGATGAGGGATTCACTGGAAGGCGAATGAACAAGCCTACCTACCTGCATGAACGAAGCTCCCCTCCTGGCCTCCCTTTCATGGTGGCCACAGCTACCCTGACCTCCCTTGTGGGGCTGGATAGGTCCCCCTTGAAGGCCCTCACCCCCAACCTCCTGCAAGAAATGGAGCTCAGAAGGGAGAAGAAAACAAAGGGTCCTGGGAAGTGAGAGCAAGACTCATAAATCTTCTGGAGTCCTCTCCTCCTCTCTTTCCACCAGGCCTAGGGGTGCTGCCAACACTGCTGACTACACTGAAGGGTAGAAAGAAGTTCCCAGACGCCCCCTCCCCCATTCCCATCCCCTCTCTGAATCTGAGAACGGGGAGGAGCTTGGGGCAGGGTTATCTGATGGGAATTTATTGTTAACCAAACCTCAAGGTCTTCAGAAGGCACTGGGATCTCAGAACTGCACTGGCCCAGGAGCCCAGGCCCTTTGTGGGTGTCCCTAGTTTATACCCCTGTGTGACTACTGGGACCAGAGCTCGGTAAGTAGAAACCTGTGGTCTTATTCCGTATCCAGAGTTCTGCTAGGATTTCAGGGGAGGGGACCGTGCTGCTGGTCCAGGTGAAGGGACAGGCTGGGTCAGGGCCATCAAGGGGCTGTCCACCCTCCCTGGGTGCTTTCTGACACTGCATACTTGAAATGCTTTCCCAAACTTCCCAGAGAAGCAAAGCGAACCCTGTCCGCCGGTCTTGCATAGCCGCAGCTCACCAAGCCGTTTGAAATGTTTGCTTTTTAACATAGGCATGCAAAGAAGGGGGTGGAATGTTTCAGGGAGGCCAGAGGGTGGCAGCCACCATCTCTGGCCCCTCTGGCCCTCCCGGGGACAGCTGCTGTGCCTGGGAAGACACCAGCCACCTTTAACATGTGCCTGACCTCTTGGGACTTTGTCAATTTTCCCGCCCTACAGGAAGGGAGCAGACACCCTCTCTGGCTGCTGGGTGCTCCTAGGGTAAGGCGTATGGGGACTTCTTTCTGGGACAGGGGTGTGTGGGTATGGAAGGAGCACAGGCTGGACAAGGGCTCTGGCTTCTGGGCACCTTTAGGAGATTGGAGCCAGGTAGTGGGGATTGAGGCTCCTGGCCTGTCCGGGCTGCAGCTCTGTCCCCAGGGACCTCAGTCCTGGCGGGGAGCTCAGGCTGTTTCCCAGCCAGTCTTCCTGCCCTGCCGAATCTGTGTGCTTCAGGCTCTGTCCACACCCAGCACTCACCCAAAAGCCAGGTAGGGGCTTCCTGTGACCTCCCCCTTGCCATGAGCTCTCTGGGCCAGTTTCTCAAGGGGAAAATGGTAGACTCGGGTGAGCATCCAAGAAGACCCTGACCCAGAGTCCATGCCTAGCAAGGAGACGGGGTTTCCAGCAGAAAGGTCCTTTGGCTGCTTTACCAGTTGGGCCAGGCAGGGCTGGTTTCTGGGAGCAAGGTGCGCTGAGCTATAAATAAATGTGTCCCTTGGAAAGCCCCACCCAGCTCCACCTTGCCTAACAGGCAGGGCAGCCCCAGAGCTTGGGTCCCTGGGTTTGTAAGGCAGGATCCAGGGTTCCCCAGCCTCCTAGCTCTGGGGTAAGGCTTGCCCCGAGGTCTGCAGAGGGCCCATTGTCTACTCTGACTGCCCATCAGTCCCTCTCTGTGCCCGAGCCCCTGCTCCCAGAGGACAGCCGTGTGGCTTCGGGCCCTTGTTCTGGCTTTGGCAGCTCCCTGGTCTTGCAGTGTGCTACGTCCAGTCTCAGTTTCCTCATCTGTAAAGTGGGTGGACCCTGTCTTTGAGAGAGACTGTGAGGGAGAGGGAGAGAGGTCTGGGAGAGCTCTGGCGGCCCCGCCTGGGAGCTGTCTCCTTTCGCTTGTCTTTTGTGTTTGGCATACTTCCTCGCGAGATCCAGTTCACTGCCAGCTCCGGCTTGCGGTCTGCAGAATGGGGCTGAGGCCGCCGGCTACTCCTTAGAGCTGCCGCGGGGCAGGAGATTCTACAGCCGCACAAAATGTATTTGTGACTCTCGCGTCCACTCTAGGGCTTTCTGGTGTCCAAAGGCTTCATGCTGTGCTCTCTCAGCCGGCTGGCGAGCCCTCGTGTGGTGTTCTATCTGCGTCCTACTTGCCGAGATCGTCAGTCCTCAGGGACTTGGGCGCTACATTTGCGGAGGGGCGGTCCAAGTTTAGGCGGATTCCTCGCTTTTGCTGGTGCGCAGGGGCGTGGCCGCTGGGCGGTGGGCGGAGCTCCGACCTCGGCTTCTGCTGCTAGCCTCTGCTCCAGCGCGCGGCTCCTTCCAGCCTGTGCGAGGAGCGCACATCCACCCTGTCCGGCCCCCCGGGACCGAGGCGTCTGTTCTGCTCCCGTGCCGGACCCTCTGCCTTGCCGGGGCCCCAGAGTTGGGGGCGTCCCAGTCGCCAGGCGCCCAGGCAGGCGGGGACCTACGCTGTCGCAAGCACTGCCTTCGGTGACGCCTCCTGGTTCCATCTGGGGATCTGTGGACCGCGAGGAGCTGCCGCGTCCTCGTCTGGCTCTGGAGACACCCACGCAGCCCGCTGTGGCCAGACACTGCGGTCCTCTGGGCCTCTCCAGCCTCCACCCGCGGCTTCCGCACGAGGGCGCATCCGCTCCTGCTCTAGGCCGGGACCTGCTCCCCGGAAACGTGGAAATCTGCCCGGCAAGGGCGGCTCCCGACTTCGGCCCCTCCCTGGCTCCCCCCACCCCCACCCCAACCCAGGACCCAAGCCCAAGCTGAGAGTTCCGGGCCGGTACTCCCAGTAGCCTTGCCCGGCCCTGCGAACTAGGCCAGCGCGGCCTCCCCACAGCAGACCAGATCGGCTCCTGGTTCCCCTCGCCACGGAGCCCCGTCCAGTCAAGGGGTCGCCGGGCAAGTCTCCGCCAGCATCCTGCCACGCGGTATCCGACCGAGTGTCCTTGCTCAGTTCGAGCTCCCAAGTACCTTAGGGTTTGCAAGATGCTGCAGGCCATGCGCATTTCCCGACAGCCAGGGATGAGTGTGCTGGACTTCTGGGGCCCCAGCGATCTCCCGGAGGGGCTCCGAGCGAGGTGCAGAGATGAGGGAGGGATTGCATCGTGACACTGATTTGCCTTAGGGCTGGAGTCTGTCAGAGCGGGCACAGAGGCTGGGAGCTGGGTCCCCGTCTACATAGGGGCTGGCTGGAGGTGTAGACTTGGAGGCCAGGTGACCCCAGAGTCCTGGAGTGCAAAAGTGTGGGCACCAAGGCACCTTTTAGCCCTCGGTTGGAAAGGGTGCACCGATGCCAGGGTTCTGAGAAGATCCCGCCCTCCCTTCAGGACCCGGCCAAAGGCTGCAGCACTTTCTGGATTGCTTGTCAATGAGCATAAGGTTCCCTCAGGTCTTGGGGTGGGAGGGAAGCGCCTGAGCATGGGCATGAGTCCCAGCCTGGTGACCTCCCCAGTTTGGTCCAGGAGGGCTGGCCTGGGCACTTCTGCAACAACCTGCCAGCCTTGCCCCTCCCTCAGGTCTTGGCATTGCTCCGTGTTGTACTCAGTGAAGTGCTAATTCAGTTATCCGCAGTGTTTCTTTTTTCCTTTAAAAGAATACTCTGCAGCAATCTTAAGCCCACCCTGATCACACTAGGCGCCTGCCCCCAATACTTGGTGTAGAGGGAGAGGGGACAGCTTGGTTGGGGTCCACATCACTCAGGATTTTTGATTCAGAGTATAATGAGTGCTACGTGTAAAGTGAGACTGGGGGGGTGCCTGCACCCTAGGGCGGGCGTGGGGGAGGGCTCAGCCTTCCCAAATGCCTAATGTAATCATGGGCCAGCTGCACGCACTTGTGAAGTTGTTATAACCCCCCTCCTTGTTATAAACAGGAAAGCACAGAATATAAAGCAAAGACCCGCATTCACAAATACCCGCCCCCCCCAGCTGCCAGAGTCCCCTTTTATGGTGCTCCTAGCTGGCGAACCTTGGCTCCTCCAGGGAGACCTGACTGCTGCCCCAGCTCTTCACACAGGTTCGTTCTGAACCCTTTCTCAAGGGAGCTCTGGGCCAGGTGCCCAGCTCCTTAGTCCCGGATGCCTGGGGTCCTGGCCTAGTGGGTCTCTGGAGAGTGCCTTCCTGGGACAGGGTGACTTGGGTGACCCAGGACCTCTGGGGAGGAGACTGCATTGCCGCCGCAAGTCAGGACCCACACCTCCTATCCTCCCTCTCTCCCTCCTGCCGCTGCCCAAGGTGTAGAAGGTTTCAAAGATCCGGACAAGCGTCTGCCGGGCAGGACTATCTCTACATCTCTTATCAGGCTGGGATGAAGAAAAGACCTTTTGTGGGAGGCTCCACGTTAAGGGGCTCACCCAGCTAGCAGTAAAACCATCCTGTGCCCCCCCTCCCTCCTTCCTGGCCGGGCAGGCCGGTGGAGAGCGCACATCCTGCCTCGCTGACTGTGTGCTTGCAGCGTCCAGGGTGGACGCGATATTTCAAACATCAGATCAGTGCGTTTACATATTGGGTGCCCGGAAATTTTTCCAAATAAACACAGCTTGATTCAACTTGGGTGGGCGGACTTATCAACAGACTAATTCTATAAACAAATGAAGGAATAGCCCAGAAAACGATTGGCTGGTATCAAAAAGACACGTGGAGGGAAAAGCTTGCAGTTTTTCAGCAATGAAATTTTAATTAATGTGGGTGGGCTGAGAACATAACGACTGTTTATCATAGACAATTTATTTTCCAGGGCTAAGTCAACATATTACTTACAACAATTATTTAACATTTTAAAGCCATGAAGAGGGGACAGAGCGTGCGGCTGCTGGGGAGAGCAGCAGAGCCCAGGGCAGAGGCACGGAGGGCTCCGTGCAGGGCCCGCAGGCAGGGCGCAGTCCCTAACCGTCCAGGGCCGCCTGGCAGCACGCGCCGCAGCTCTGCTCCTGGATCGCCATGAGCCACCTCTTTGGTCCCAGGCTGCCGGCTCTGGCCACCTCGCCCATGCTTTATCTGTACGGCCCGGAGAGGCCCGGGCTGCCTCTGGCCTTCGCCCCCGCCGCTGCTCTGGCTGCCCCGGGTCGGGCCGAGCCGCCCCAGAAGCCGCCCTACAGCTACATCGCGCTCATCGCCATGGCGATCCAGGACGCGCCCGAGCAGAGAGTCACGCTGAGCGGCATCTACCAGTTCATCATGGACCGCTTCCCCTTCTACCACGACAACCGGCAGGGCTGGCAGAACTCCATCCGCCACAACCTGTCGCTTAACAAGTGTTTTGTCAAGGTGCCGCGCGAGAAAGGGCGGCCAGGCAAGGGCAGCTACTGGACGCTGGACCCTCGCTGCCTGGATATGTTCGAGAACGGCAACTACCGGCGCCGCAAGAGGAAGCCCAAGCCCGGAGCTGGGGCTCCGGAGTCCAAGCGGGCCGGCGCGGAGCTGCAGGAACGCGGCGCCAAGGTGCAGCCGCCGGCCGGGAGCGGAGAGGGACGCGCGGGCGCCGGGACCCCGGGCCACCACGCGGCCGCCGCGCGCCGCCCGGATCTCGGGGAAAGCGGCTCTCTGCACGCGCGCCTGCACTGGCCGGGACACGAGGCCTCGGAGGAGGACCCCGGCGACGCAGCGCAGGGCGCAGCGGCAGCGCGCACGGTGGATAGCCCGAGGACGCCCCCGCGCCCCGCCGCCCGCAGCTCGCCTGGGAGCGACAGGTCCAAGAGCTTCAGCATCGACAGCATCCTGGCGGGAGGGCAGGGCCACAAGCTGGCTGGAGGGAGCGAGATCCCGGGTGCCGCCAAGCCGGGGCCCAGAGGGGTGGGCTCCTGCACCCTGGCCACCTCCCCGGAACTGCGGCCGCCTTTCAACGCCTCCCTCATGCTCGACCCGCACGTCCAGGGCGGTTTCTACCAGCTGGGGATCCCCTTCCTCACCTACTTCCCTCTGCAGCTCCCCGACCCGGCGGCGCTCCCCTTCCAGTAAGCCAGCAGCGCGCACTCTTTCCCTGCCCACGTCCTTAGAGCCTCTTCAGAGTCACCGCCTGGCTCCCGCGGGTGAGGGGAGGGCGTATGTTCTTCTGCAAATGTTCTTCTCTGGGTTCACGTGTGGGTTCCGGGCAGCGCGCTGTGGCAAGTGGGTCCGCTCGGGGTCCAGCGGGCAGTGGCTTGGGGTTTGCAAAGACCCCTCCCGCGGGCATGGGCAGAACGCCCTGCCTTCGAGGAGCATGATGGTGCGATTCCGTATGCTGCACCCAAGGCAGGACCTACAAGCCCAAGGCCCTTTCCTACCCGGGAGCACGGTGTGACCCCCGAGCCCTGCGTGGTGAGTGCCCACGGCTGGGCCTCCTCTGCGTTGCAGTCAGCACAGATCTTGGTTAACATTTATGACCCTGGTTAGGTTGGAGACCAAGAAACCATAGTATTCCTCTTAATTTCTCTCTGGACAGTGAAAGAAATCTGGGTTATTCTTCCCCTAAGCACCCCACTGGTGCCTTCAAGGCGCATCCTATGTGACTTCTAGTAGGTGCACCCTTGTTACCTCTTGATGGCTCCTTAAGGTTCCTGTTCCAAAGCATCTGTGACTGGACAGACCACACCCAGCCTTTGTGTTGTCTTAAGGGATAGAAGATTTCAGGGGAAGAGGGAGGGTGGGAGGGTGAGGGAAGCTGGCTCAGTCCACACCAGGGCTTTTGATTTCTGAGGCTCTAGGTTTGGTTTTTGCAGCATTTTCCAGAATCACGTAAAGAAGGACCTCACTTAACCAAAAAACTTGAGTGAAAGAGAGAAGCGGATAGAGAGTGGGGTCCTTAAGGCTGGGAGGAGTGTAGAAACCCGCTGGTGTGCCAGGAGGATGCCCTCCGGCTTTTTGGCTTCCCCAGCCGCCTTCTCAGCCTCTGCATCCCTGGGGGTCTGGTGGGCTAGGGCAGGGCCTGCAGCTATGAGCTGGGTAAGAAGTGCAGATGCTTCCTGGTCCAGCCAGCTTGAAGCTGTGGGGGCATCCCGCATACCCGGGCACTCTCACAGCTCCTGGGAGTCCTGAATCTGGATTTCCTGAACTGTCTAGGTGCCTTTACTGTATGTGCTGCAGGAGAGGCATAAGACATCCCAAGTTCTTGGGCCTTCAGGACCGGTTTAAGTCCTTCCCAGGATGCATAAGAAAACGATCACTTGCTTAAAGCCAACAGGGCCGGCTGTTCAGTATGTTGGAAGGGACCCTGCAGGGGAGCACCATAACTTCACGAGACACAGAGGTGGCTTTCTGGGAGTTCATTCTGCGACCACGCTGAACCAAACGCTACTGTCTGACACTTCCAGGATGGGCTGGGTTCTACCCAGGCAGACAGAAGACTTTGGCAAGCTACAGGGGCCTGGATTTAGAGGGCTTTTCTGAGACCCCAGCGGAAAGAGGCAGGCCCAGTGTGATTCACTTGAAGTGCTGGAAGGGCTGTCACCAGACGTTCTGTCATCCGAACTCTCAGCCTCTGCAAATAAAGTTGGTCTTTCATTAACCTCTTAGCAACCAGTTCAGTGGATTACTGGGTGGAAATACATGCTCAGAGAGCTAGGGAATTGTCCCTGAGACTCTCAGCTCTGAGCCTCGGAGGCTCTAGCTTCTGAGGGGCAAAGACAGGGAGTTGGGGGCCCCTCAGCGTACTGGGGGCCTAGAAATTGGAAAGGATGAGCCATTCTGCTGTGCTGAATGTTTTTGTTTCTTTCATTTTGTTTGATATACTGTCTTGTGTGTTTTTGCTAGATTGTGGTAATTTTTTTAGAGAAGCAAACAATTTTATGCTGTTATTTTTTAAAAAATAACATTTTAGCTGGTTATAGTGGAGCATGCCTCTGATCCCAGTACTCTGGAGGCTGAGACAGGACGATCACCACGAGTTCCAGTCCAGCCTGAGCAACGTAGCAAGACCCTGCCTCGAAAAGCAAAACAAAACTACATTTTAGACTGTAATTCAAAAAGCATGAGTGTTACTTTTAAGGCACAGAAAAAAGCCAGAATATGTATCTACTTCGTACATTCATGCTTCTACAAAAACAAATTCCATCTAATCGCTTTCACCAGGTTTAAAAACAAGAGAAATGGAAAGTGTGCTTTGCAGCTGTGTACACGGTGTGCACATTTCTTCCTACTGGAGGAGAAGAGGGGCCTTCGAGCTTCAGGCCTGAGTGCCTGTGGCTACCGCCCCCTGGAGCGGTGAGACCACGCATGCCATCTGCTCTTACCTAGCACAAGCTCTCAGCTCTCCTGGGGGAGACTGGCAGTGAGCAGGGTCTCCGCTTGCGCAATCTGCAGCGTTTCCTCCCGGCGGCGAGTGTGTGGATCAGGCTCTGGGCTTGGCAGGTGAGTGAATAATGATTGACAGGTGTGGATACGTAGGCACGTGTGTCTGTGCACATATACGTGTAGCATATGCACACACGTACGTACAAACCTGTTTGTTCTGCGCGCACAAAAGCTCAGAAAGCCATGGGTTTGCACATAGGCGGAGCTTGGCAGGCAGCCTTTATCCTGTTTTCCTATAGAGCTCAAACGGGGTGACTAATCTTGCACTGCAGTGAAGCTAAGGAAGGTTCTGTGGGGCAACCTTGGATGGGGCGCCACCTGAGCACTGTGCTTCCGCCCTTTTCCCGGGACAGAGGGCTCTGCAGTGGCTTTCTGCTTTGTCTGGCTCTAGATCTGAGTGGGCCTTAAGACACAATGACCCTCTGGCTGGCCAGGACACCTGGGGCTTGGAGGACACCAAGGAGGCCTGTCTAGCCCCACGCTCGGACACGGGGCCGCAAGTTGCTTTCCACATTCCACACGGAGCTTCCCACGGGCATGCCTGGGCAGGCTGAGGGTTGTCATTATGTCCAAGCCCTGCTGGAATGCCTGTGCACAGGCTGATGTCCCTGTCACAGATGTGGGCCACATGTCCCCTCACCCGCTGCACGTGAGTGAGAGAGGAAGTCCTGTGAGGGCTGTAAGTAACTGCTGGCCGCACCCTCGCTGCCATGAAGTGAAGCTCATTTCATCCTGCAAAGGGTGACAAGTGCAGCTCACGTTTAGAGGTGGAGCCTGAGGTCGTTGGTCAGCTGAAACGCTGTGGCACCTCTTTAAAGCAGACTGCGATCGCCCTGAGTGGCTAAACTGCCAGGCCTTGATTCTCTGGTCCGCATCCAGAGGACCAGTGCCGGGTCATGCAGGCCTGGACTGTGCTCTGAGACTTACGGTGACCTGAGAAGGGGGGCAGGCTGGGCTGGAGGTGGCTCTCTGTACCTTCACATGATGTCCAGCATAGCCAACTGCACTGACCCATCAGACCCAAGCTGGGACTCTGGGACTCTGCCATGAGGGACGAGGGGACCAGAGGATACCGTCACATAGCCATCTTTGTTTACACTGGCAGTGGGGAGGGGGAATGGAAGGTGGTGGAACAGGAATTTGGCCTGAGCTTACTTTTTTCTATAAGAATCAAGGTCCAGGCAGAAAAGGCCACTGAGAAAGCCAGTAAGACAGATTCCAGCATGTGTAGGTTGGGCGGGTGGAACCTGAGGCGGGAACCAGCCTGTCCTTGCTCGCCCTGCCCTGCGCCCCTCACCGGGTGGGGCTGGGGCGCAGGAGCTGGGAGGTTGGCTGATGCCTGTCACAGTGCAGGCACAGGGATCCCAGGGGAACTACCTGCTGGCCCAGTGGCCAGGCTAGGCACAGAAGCAGGACAGCACTTTGGCAGGGGCGAGGAGTTGGGCCACTGTGACCACACTGTGATGCTCAGGCCCTGAGGGGAGGCTCCTGGTGGGCCGAGGATCCCTTCCAGAGCCCCCACAAGGTGAAGAGGGCTCCAGACCTGGCCTGGACCCCTGTGGGCCTGCACGTGGCTCCTGCGGGTCTTCTCTGTCCCCACCACAGTCTCTGCCCTCACATAGCAGGTGCTCACAAAGATTTGCTGCTCTGCCTGCGGGCTGTGAGCGCCTGAGAGAGCGCTGCCTCTTCCTCACGGTGGTGTGCTGGGTGCACCACAGTTTGCCATCTTCTGTACCGTGTGAGTATTCTTCGGTGAGGGCATTCCCCTGCCTAGAGCAAGGAGGGTACCCAGGAAGGGGTCTCGGGCCCAGGGTAGGTCCCCGTGGAGCCCTTGTGGGAAGGGAAGGACCTCAAGGATTGGAAGCCTAGTCCTTGTAACAGTGTAATATAGGATGAAGCTCATGACAGCCCAGTCGCCTGAGCCCACAGAGCCCTGTCGGGCAGCTGGTCACCCTCTACTTCCTGGTCTCTGTCCACTTGGCCACCAGTGAGAAGAATCCTGATTGCCAGTGTCCGCGGCTTCTTTCTTTCTGAGTCCTCAGTCCCTGGGTGTGAGGGGAAGGACACCCTGACCTCAGAGAGGCTGGTACCCCAGCTCTGCCCGGCTTGGCTGGGGCAAGTGACCTCACTTTTCTGTCCTTCACTTGCGCCACCTGTCCGTGGAGGGGCCCGTGGTCACTGCCTTGGAGCCGAGAGCTTCGTAACCAAAGGCTCTAGTGAATTTGCTAGGTCAAGCGCCTGCCTCGGTTCATAGCTGCCCAGGGGAATGCCCAGAGACAGGAGTGGGCCTACGTGCACTGAGTCTCGGGCTCTCGCTGTGCACTGACAGCTCATGTGGGACCTCTTAGCTGGGGCATCACATCCTCCCGGAGCAGCCGGGCTCCCAGGCCGCCCCTGTGGAGCCCCTCAGTCCTAGTGCTGGGTTCCATCGCTTGAGGTTGCCGGGGCCATGTGAACTGAAACCAAAAGCAAAAGCCAGCTGCTGGGCCTGCGAGGGAGCGATGGCGCCTGGCGAGAGGATCCCAGGGCAGAAGAAGACACTCCCTGCCTGCCGCCTTTTGGTGCCTGGCGACACAGGGGACTGCATGCTTCCGGCCCCCTATCCAAGCGCCGCCCCTTCCGTGGGCCTAGAGCGCCTCTGCCCCCTCCTGGGGAGAGGGGGACCTGCCTGGAGCACTGTTCCCAAAATCCTTGCTTTTCAGGGCCAGCCTTATAAAGTGTAAAGCGCATTTCTTTTAAATGCTCAAGCTAAATATAGCAGGGGCTTGGTCAGCTAGAACATTTTTAGAAAGCACATTACAAATCAGGAATGTTTTAGAGAAATAAATAAACTTTTCCCACATTGTTGGCGGTGGAGCCAGCACTGGGGCCCCATCTTAAGACCACAATAGAGGGGGCGATGGATAATTCATGGTGGCCCTGGCCAGGACTTCGCTGGTGT